CCCCACTCCCAACAGTCACCTCTGCGGGATTAAAATGTGAAGTCTCAGCCCCCCAGAGGAGCACTGGCTTCATTACCCTCACCTTGGATGCAGGTTTTCTAGAAATGCTTTCTAACTACCTCTGGGCAACCTTATGCCTGCCTTTGTTAGGAGTTAGTGTTAGGACAGTCAGGCAGTCAGAGCCAGGGTCCCCAACGAGAAGATAGGGAGCGGGGACAGCTAAGACAAAACCACACTAACATCCTGTTTTGCAGCTTAGACAGGACCACATTAGCATTCAGTGTTGCAGTCTTTGCAGAAATGACTTCAGCAAAATGTCCCAAAATGAAGCAATTAACTACAAAGCATTTGTCACTATCACGACGGAGAGGCAGTTAAGACATAAGCCCACAGGTGTCAGCCCAAAAAGACCATCAGCACCTAAACATTAACCTAACAGGTAGACAGATGTGTGATCAAAGCCCGGACTGGCACCACTGGGCACACCCTGGTTGCTTAAAATAGTTCTGCCAAAGAGTTCCTAAAAAACCCCTAAACTTAGAAACTCCAAGGGCAACCCTCTCAGATCCCCCACCCTCTCTGGGAGCTTTATACTATTGCTCAATAAATACTGCTTTGCTGCCCACCACTCTTCCTCTGATCTACCTCCTCATTCTTCGAAAAGGCGTGACCAAGAACCACAGGCACTAAAGGAAAAGAAATCCTAAAACACCTTTACAGGCAATGCCCAAGCTCCCCTCTGAATATTCATCCTAACCCTGAATGAAAGAAGCCCATCACACCCGGCAGGGGAGCAGCGCATTTGAAGTTACTCCCTGAGGTCTCCTCATCTGCTGCAAGTCAAGTTTCCTTCGTGGGACAACTCACCTGGTTAGTCTCTACCTGTAACTGACCAAGGAGCAGGCTCCCGTTAGGTTGCACACCCGCCCGAATCCCAGCCTCCCCCTCCCCCCTCGTCGCTGCCTCCCTCCCCAGTCCCACCCGCCGAGGACGCAGGTGCGGACCCATGGGCATGGGGAGGCCCCCTACCGCGGCCGCTTCCACTTCGTTCTGGCGGGTTCGATCCACCCCTCCGGCCCCCGCGCTCACCATCTCGGGGCCCCGCTCCCGGATCTCCGGGCGTCCTCCCCGCCGCGTTCAGCCACACCCGGGCTGCTCGGGACTGGAGCGCGGCAGCCGGCACCGGCTGAGCGCCGCACCTACCAGGCTACCAGGGCCCTCCCTCGGGCCTGATTGGATGGTATACAGGCCCCGCGCCCCGATTGGGCGATGTTTCAGGTTCTGAGACCTGATTGGATGGGGTTTCGGCGTTAACTCCCCGTGGTCCTGATTGGGCGTTTCTCCGGGACACCGCGCTCCCCGCACCGTGATAGGACGGCCTGTGGCCCTTCACGTTCTGATTGGATGGTAATCCCGGCAGCGCTCCTGTGGTCCCCGATTGGGCAGATCTCCCAGGCCCCGCCTCCTGGGTCCTGACTGACAGGCTGGCGCGACCCGCGTGTCTCATCTGCCTGCCGGGAGTTCGGCTCCCAACAGAATGGACTCCTGGCCGGCCGACCCGCCTGCGTCCTCCTTCTGTCCCGGGAATCTGACTCAGTTTCTCCGCGGAGCCTCCCGTGTGCGGCGCCCCATCAGGATGTGACAGAGCAGAGGGGCCCGGTGATCCTTATGTCCGTGGTGGCCACGGGGGCGAGGGACAGTGCACCTGTTCCGTGTTTAAGCACATCTCAAGAACCGGTGACGTCATCGCAGGGAAGGCGCGGTCTCCCTGGGTTTGGACCTGATCCTTTGACACCGCGAGGCCCCGCCCTCCATCCCCCCCTCCACTTCTCTAGCCTCAGGTCAGCCAAACGTTCCCCTGTCCACCGCCCCCGTGGGACGTGGGACCCTGCGGCCCCAGCCAGGCACGGCCACAGGTGGGACACATTAGAATACTCGGGTGTGTTGGGGCGCCTGGGTGGCTCAGTCGTTAAGCATCTGCCTTCGGCTCAGGTCACGGTCCCAGCGTCCTTGGATCGAGCCCCGCGTCGGGCTCCCGGCTCAGCGGGAAGCCTGCTTCTCCCTCTCCCACTCCCCCTGCTTGTGTTCTCTCTCTCGCTGTCTCTCTCTCTGTCATATAAATAAATAAATAAATCTTAAAAAAAAAAACAAAAAAGAATACTCGGCTGTGCGTTATATTCTGCAAGGAAAGTCACGGCAGATCAAGTCTGTAGTCAGTCCCTGTGAATGTGAAATGTAAAGGGCTCTATTTCCTTCTTCAGATGATGCCGGATGTGGCAGAGCCGTGAACAGAGAAAAAAACAACACTGAGTTTTACCCTTAAAAGTGGGAGTGCTGGGGCGCCTTCGGTTAGACGTCTGCCTTGGGCTCAGGTCATGATCTCAGAGTCCTGGACCAGCCCTACCAGGCTCCCTGCCGGCAGGGAACCTGCTTCTCCCTCTCCTTCCTGCTCGTGTGCTCTCTCTCACTACCTCTCTTGAACAAACAAATAAATAAATAAAATCTTTTAAAAAAAGTGTGAGCGCTATGGTATGTGAATTATATCCACATTTGTCAACACGAATTTAAAGGCCAAAATAGCTAGGAAACCATGCCTCCTGCCCACCAAAGAAATACTTTATGTCTCCATGGATTTGCCTATTGTGCATATTTTATATAAGTTCACTCATGCTCTGTGGTCTTGTGCATCTGATGTCTTTCACGTAGCATATTTTCAAGATGCATTCATAGTACAGCATGTGTCCCTGCTTCATTCCCTTTTGTGGCTGAATAATCCTCCATCCCATGTATATGCTGCACTCTGTTCATCCATCCATGCATTGGTGCCCAATAGGACGTTTCCCACTTTTGTGGTTTTTGAATAGTTTTGCACCTCGCATTCATGTACATGTATCTGTTTCAATTTAGGTAGGACTGGGATACTTGGGTCCCATTGTAATTCTGTTTTAACTTTTTGAGGAACCACCAGACTTTTGCCCACATCAGCTGCCCGAGTTTACATTCCCACCAGCCATGCACAACGGGTCCAAGTTCCCCACATCCTCACTGACCCTTGTTTTCTGAATTCTGGATTCTAGCCATCCTAGGGAGTGGGAAGTGGTATCTCATTGTGGTTTTGATTTGCATTCCCCTTGATGGTGAGGATCCTTTCATGCGTTTATTAGACATTTGTGTGTCATCTTAAAAGAAATGTCTAGTGAAGGTTTTGCTCACTTTTAGCCAAGCTTTTACAGGTTTTGCTATTCAGATGTAAGGGTTGTTTGTGTATTCTGGTTAATAAAATCTTATCATATGTGTGATTTACAAATATGTTCTCCCATTTTGTGGGTGTCTTATCACTCCCCTGGTAAGGTCCTTTGATGGACAAAATATTCTACTGCCCCTTTGGGAGACAGACTTTAGTCCGCTTCCTCTCTGATAGCTTGGCTACCTCTAATAAACTATGTCCTGGCTGCATGCTCCAAGACTCAGTAACTGGCCTTGCTGCCAAAGGGGAAAAGGATGTGGGTTCAGTTATGATGCCAGAGGGGCAAGGCCCTGAGAAGTAGGGCCTCAGGTCTCTCACCAAGAGGGTTCTTGTCTTTGTGCAAGAAATTCAAGGGCAGGGGCACCTGGGTGGCTCAATTGTTAAGCATCTGCCTTCGGCTCAGGTCATGATCTCAGGGTCCTGGGATCGAGCCCCGCATCAGGCTTCCTGCTCAGTGGGAAGCCTGCTTCTCCCTCTCCCATTTCCCCTGCTTGTGTTCCCTCTCTCGTTGTGTATCTCTCTGTTAAATAAATAAATAAAATCTTAAAAAAAAAGAAAATTCAAGGGCAAGCCATTTAGAGAGAGGAACAAGGATTTACTAAGTATAGAAGTAAGAAAGGAGGTGGTCTCTCCTTCCAGATGGGAAAGAGGACCTCCCTTTGCCTCTAACCAAAGGCTTTGTGTGTTTTTAAGATTTATTTATTTATTGGGGGGAGGGGCAGAGGGAGAGGGAGAGAGACTCTCAAGCAGACTCCCTGTTGAGTGTGGAGTCCCACATGGGGCTCGATCCCAAGACCCTGAGATCACAACCTAAGCCACCCATGTGCCCCCCTTTTGTTTTTTTAATTAGCTAGCCCTACAGGGAGGGGCTTCCTTTTTTTTTTTTTAAGATTTTATTTATTTATTTATTTGACAGAGAGAGAGAGAGATAGCAAGAGCAGGAACACAAGCAGGGGGAGTGGGAGATGGAGAAGCAGGCTTCCCGCTGAGCAGGGACCCCGATGCGGGGCTCGATCCCAGGACCCTGGGACCATGACCTGAGCTGAAGGCAGACGCTTAACGACTGAGCCACCCAGGCGCCCGAGGGGCTTCCTTTTTAACTTTGGGCTCCTCATTCACACTGAGGTTTTTCCTTTGTCTTAGGGTTGTGGAGATACCCACAGGGAGCAATTTTGAGCATGTCCAGGCTTTGTGGCTTTCACTGCTGTAGGGAGTGGGGTCTTGTGGTTTTCCTTGAGTCAGATCTTGTGACTCTTTTTATGACCTGATGACTTTTAGGTTAAGGGTTAGCCTAAAACCAAAATGGCTTTACATGGGTCAACTTGTCTTTTGAGTCTCCCTCCCTTACCTCCGGCTCAGTTACAGCAGGTCCTTCCAAGACCCACCCCCCGTCCAACCCCTGGCTGCAGTGCTGGGGGCCCTCTGCTCCCTCGGATGCCATCTGGCCAAGGATTAGAGCGCGGACCCCTGGGGAAAGTGGGGACCCCAGCCCACAGCCAAGGGTGGAGTGCCAGAGTCCAGCTCCAGCTGCGGTGGGTCTCTCGTAGGAAAGGACGGCGTCGGTGAATGAGGAGACGCAGACACAGGATCAGGTTGCAAGCATCTCCTCCCGACAGCCTCGGAGGAACTTTATCTATATGTTAGGATATTTTTGTTTTTCCATACTTTCGTAACATGTGATTATGTTTTTTTACAATTTATCGAGATAATCTTAGATCATTTTCTGGATTACAGACATAGCCTTCTTTCATTTTTCCTTTGTAATGATTAACATGACCTTTATTGACTTCCGCGGAAACTAAAAAACAGTACGCAAAGAGAAAGGTGCTAAACAGAGCGTGACCGTCTTGTTATTTTGTTCTATAGAAACTAATTCTTCGTGGAATTAGTTTCATTATGATTGCTTAGATAGGCGTAACTAAGATGAGTAGTCACTTTATCATGAAACCCCAGAAATACTCCCACAATTACAAAGATTGCCACAAACAAAATGAAAGAGAATAGCAGGAGTCAGCTGTGGAGTCTCCTGTTTTTCAGGATCGTCCCCCATACTTGGACCTTGTCAAACAGCATGAGTGGCTTGGCTCGTGCCGGAGATTGGGGTGGGGACCCCTAAGGGTATCAGGAGACCCAGGCTGCGGCCACGGCCACGGCCACGACCCGCCCATTTGGGTGGGAACCAGCCCCTCCCAGGCTCCCCGCCCACGCACTCACCATCTCATCCCCCGTGAGGGGCCCAAGGGCAGGTGCACATGAAGGCGAGACCCACCCAAAGCCACTCAGAGGAGGCTGGGAGTGCTCCCCTTTGGGTGGTGTCCTGGGCTCCCGCACCCTGATCAATCTGAGCTCCCCTGCTAGAACCTGTTTTCCGATAGAGCTTCGGACCTCGGCCCCACATCTCCCGATGGGCTGCGCTGGGTTTGGTCCAAGCTCCTGGCTCCCTGCCCCTGGCGGACTTGATTGGATAGTGCTCCGTGGGTCCTGAGTGACAGGCAGAGGCGGGGCACGTGGCTGAGCCCACAAGTGCAGGGTTCTGGTCTCAGCCTCCCCCGCCCGCCAGGCCTCCTTGCTGCGACACGATGCTGCAGCGGACAAGCACACGTACTCGGCTGCCCACAGCTCAGAGCCTCCCGGCCTGTGCGGTCCTGCTCCCGGACTGGGATATCCTGGCTCAGTTTCCCCGCAGAAAGGCCCCTTGTCCGGAGCTGGGACAAGAAGGGACAGGCCTGAATAGGACAGGAGGGCCTGGTGACTTCTGGTGTTGGGAGTCAGTCTGGGGATGAGGTCCTCGCGGCTCTGTGCCCTTCCTCTAAGAACAAAGACACTCAGCAGTGACGTCACCGCATGCAAGGCAAGGGCCCAGCTGTTTTGACTTGTGAGCTTGGATACCCTGAAGCCTCACCCTCCCCTCCTGTGCCTCTGGTGCTTGACCAAGGGTT